AAAAATCTAAACCCCAATTCGAAATTGAAATACAAAGCATTTCTCATGAATGTGACAAAGGCCTGGGCTACAGACCAGATGGTGGTGGCAGAACGAGAGTCAAAGACTCAGTGGGACCGGGACCATCAACTACCACCCCTCTCAGGCCTCATGTGGACCCCCTGGGCGACTTCTGGGTGATATGCGGAAATATACCCCGTGAAAATTGTGAAGAGTGAACATTCCAAGGGGAAGCATCCTTCTAGGCAATGTTGTCTTTGCACAGTTCACAGAAAAAGGAGCATGACTGCCTACATTTGCAAGTTCTGTGTAATGCCACTTCACAAAGGGGAATGTTTCCAGGAATATCACACTCTCAAGCACTTCTAGGAGTACTGGTAAGTGTTCTCCAAAAATTTTAGTTCATAAAATTAATTATTAGATTTTATATTAATTTTTAAAGTGAACAGTGCACAAGTTAGGGTAGTAGGTTTAAAAATGCCGGTCCCCAGGGTGATTTAAATATTTAAATTGCCGGTCAACAAAGTGTTAATAATTGTTACATCTGAGGTTCTCATGGTGGTGACTATGAGGACTACTGGAATCTCACAGTTATTCTGTAAATGGAGGCTAAACCACAGATTTGAAAACCTCAAATCAAGAAAGTCAAACTACTTCATTCCCAGCCATTCATTCTGTCATGAAGATGGAGGCAGCACATTCCTTTAAAATGTCAGTAAATATATACCAGACTACATGGAATCACATACCAGAAGATAGTAATCTTATTTTAATAGTTGTTTTGAGATACTCATAGAAGAGTAGCATATTTTCTTTGTTGATGACTACTGTTCCAGGTTTTCACCCCACGGACCCCTCAAACAGATCCCTTTGCATGCCATTTTACGAACCTCACTGCCTGCTATCCCGTCTAGACCCATTTCTCCTCGAAGACCTGGTAATCCACTTGGACCAGGCAGACCATCTCGCCCTGGCCTTCCCTTTTCTCCTTTAATTCCTGGAATACCAGGAGCACCATCTAATCCTGGAAGACCTCGTTCACCTGGTCTACCTGGAATGCCTGCAACCAAAGATTATAAAATAAGTCCTGATGCTGGGAGTGACACTATCTGCTCACATCATCCCAACATTCCCTACACTGCAACCTGGGTACAAAATTACTGACTGCAGACTCACAGACAAACTGTCATTGCTCTACTATCTCTTGAAGGAAGACCAAACTACTTTCAACATTACATCTTGAACCCTTATCTGCTGTACAAGCAGAGCCTGCCACCTGCATTCTTGCTTGGCTTATTCTTCACCTCTGAAGATGGAGGTAGCATGTTACTTTCAATGGACTACATGGCATTTTATCCTTCCTTCCTTCCCCTCAGTGCTAGAGCTCGGGGTGAGCTTTGGCATCCTGAACAATCTGCCTCCATTCTTCTCTATTCATCTTTCCTCACCATCCCTTCACTTTCCTTTTACAGAGATCATGTACATCCTTCAACCATATCAGCTCCTCCGTGGATGTCGATTTCCATGCGTTTCATCCATCCAAGGCTGACTGTCTGGTTTCTGAACAATTTAGTTTTATGGTGAGACATTGTTAGCCTCACACCCAGCCTGGAGGACCAGGGTATCCCGCTTCATCTGGCTCCTACCCCTTGACCTGTCCAGTATGAGTGACCCTACCAGTAGTTACATTACGACCGTCATAGCTCTCAGGGTCTCAGGAGCACTCAAATCCCATCCCCACGATAATGTGGAGAAACCATCAGTGGGGACATTATATCATAGAAGATAAAAAGGTAAAGCTATCCCTGTAACAGGCCATGAAGGCCCATAGGGTTGTGAGGTCTTGAGGCTCCCACAGTTTGTCTAGACAGTCAGCTCACAGATGGCGGTAAGGTTGTCAGCCTTATGCATCGGCCACCCTTTCCCTCATGGAAGATTCCTGGTACTCATTTCTGTCAGAGGCTGAGTCAAACCCAAGGCCATAGAGCAGCTGGAAGGATTAGGTAAATTGAAAAATCCACCTCATTGGGACTTGAAAATGCCATATTCCGGTTCGTAGTATAGTGCCTCAAGAACTACACTACCATGTACCCCCTATCCCAGAAGATAGAACTCTTCAAATTAAGAAAATTTTCTTCTGGTGTTAGATTCAGAATTACATTGCCTTGACAGTGAATATAAAATATCTTAGCACACTGTACCCACCTAGTGGCCCCCTTTCACCCTTTTGTCCTGGAGGTGGAGATAATCCTGGTTCTCCCTTATCTCCTTTCAATCCTGGTAAACCTGGTGCTCCATCCAAGCCTGCTATCCCTGCAAAGCCTGGTTCACCTCGTTGTCCTGGAATCCCAGGTAATCCAGGTGCACCATCAAAACCTAGATCTCCTTTAGAACCAGGGAGTCCAGGCAATCCAGGAGGTCCTGACACAGAGTGAAATTTCTGTTAACACTATGATTATGAAAAATCTGCATTAGTCTCAAACATGACCAAAACACTTCCTGCCACTGCATTCAGCTTTAAATGATATCTCCATGTGTTGTTGCAAAATATATGGTAAAAGATGCATCAATCATTGGATATGTAAGAAAATAATTTAGTTGTGAGTTCGTAAATGATATGCAGAAATAAATCCCAAGTCCGGAACTGGTGTACTGGTGTACTGATTGTAGTTATTTCAGACCGTTTTTATTTTCATGGAAGAAAGTATTTTGTGCACCTACACTTCAGAATCACTGTTCCAGGCCAAATATCATAAGGAAAACAGTCTCTCAGATATATTACGAACATTTGTTCTACCATTCATTTAATAAAATGAGGAAGTCCATACTATCTCATAATCTATAGACTGATATACTCTAAAAAATTACATTAAAATGTCAGGTACTTAATTTGGTATTTTACTAAGGAACAAATTTATTTCGTTCACTCTGGAAGATTATTCTTAATGGTGAGGCTTCCATAAAAGCGGATAAATAAAACTTCATAATCATCACAAGGCCTTAAAACTGAATACATTACAACTGCCGTATTTAAGATTTGACATACCTGGAATTCCCTGGTCACCTTTCTCTCCTGGTACTCCAAATAATCCAGGGGGGCCATTATCTCCCTTGGTTCCTGGGAGACCTGCTGGGCCAGGAAGACCTGGCAAACCACGCGGACCTTCAAACCCTGGTGAGCCTGGAATGCCAGGGAAACCCTGGATTCCCTTCTCTCCAGGAGGACCTACAGGCCCAGGCAACCCTGGACTGCCCTGTTGACCTGGTAATCCTGTCAAACCAGGTTCACCTGTATGCAGAATGGAATCCTTGAAGTGATGGTGTAAAATTAGTAGCTTAGATATACAGTAATCTTCCTTTGGTTCTTAAGCTAACACAATAGTTTTCTATGCTACAGAGTTAGTAGGGTATTCTCAGTAGAGTTGGGTTTAATTACTCATAATTTATGACGATGCTAATAAGCATTCCAAACGAGTTTTATATTTTACTTTTAAAGAGTTTCAAAAAATGGTTTTCACTTTTGATTAAATTATATAATGGCACAATGATCCAAATTTCAGGTTTATTTTTTATTTAAAGATTGTCTTCAATCTTTACTTCCTGTGTGACCAGTCAAGTATCAGGTCACAGATACAACACATCCACAACAGTATGCACACTATTTACAAAGAAATTGTGCTGGAAAATAAATGAATTAATTATTACATTTCAGCATCCTTTTCCATTAAAGACAGAAGTGAGTGTAAAATGAATTAAATTTTAATCTCTTGTTTATTTATGTTTTCATAGATTCATTCTACAGAAAGTCAGCTGATGAGCTGAATTCATACATAACAGAAGAAACACCATTTTTCTTTTCAATAATTATATATATAAAAACTCCATGGTTTGAGTCTCCAAGCAAACTATACCGACCAAGCGATCACCAATTGTTGTCGAAGTTAGTGCCAACTTTAGCGGATAGAGGGTGTCGTGTGGTCAGCACAATGAATCTCCACAGCCATTAATTTCGGTTTTCTAGACCGGAGCTGCTATTTCCTTGAAATAGCTCGTCAGTTATCCTCACAAAGCTGAGTGGACCCCGTTCCAGAACCACTACTTCTCAGAAAATCTGGTAGTGTCAGGAATCGAACCCGGACCTCTGGATCTATAGCCAGGAAGTCTGACCACTGGACCACAGAGGCAGTCATATATATTTATTTATTGTGATCACACACTGAACTTTCTCAACAAAGAGCTGTCCAATGGCTGCCAAACTTCAATCTAAATTCAGCTCTTTCTTGGAATGTCTCCTTTTCATGTATCCCTGTCCCCTCTCATACTCACCTGACTTCACCTGTCCCTAACAGCTATTGCTCTCACTTACCCTTCTGGCCTGGAACACCTGGTAGTCCTTCTCTGCCATTTTTTCCCATTAGTCCTGGCAAGCCCTTTTCTCCTTTAACTGTTAGTCCTGGAGCACCGACTGGTCCAGCAGGTCCAGGTTCACCTTAACAACAGATGAGTTAGGTAACTAACTGACATCACCCAACAGTAGTGAATTTGTTTATGCAATGAGTAAACTGTTCATTTAATCCCTTCAGCGAAGAGGAACATAGAATTTGAGGTTTTCTGGGGCAAAATTTTGAAATCTGGTCATCTGGGTTATGACATTAAGTAATGTTCTGGAGGAACTTTCTACACTACACAGAAAATCAGAATCTTAATTTTCACTGCCATGAAAACTTTAAACCATATAAATAAATCCAACTTTTGTCACCCATTATGATCCCGAAGATAAAAGTTGGGTCCATGTTAGCCTTTCCTCATAGCTCAAGATGCACGTTTACACGCCACTGCTTTTGATTATTTGTTGAGTCAGGGAACAAACTTCGTGGCAATGTGACACATGTTCAAATTTTCTGTTAAGATCCCCTGGCAAACTCCATATTCGTAACGGATCCCAATGGTGTCTGCAAGCTCGTGGACTGTTTGGCGACGGTCTTCATGGATGAGTTCTCGAATTTTTTCAGCATATTCTGTTGTTTTGCTGGTGCTTGGTCACCCTGAATATTCATTATCTTTAACTGATTCTCAACCAGCCTTGAAATGCATATTTCATTCAAAAACAGCTGTCTGGCTTAAATAATGTTCTCCAAAAGCCTCATGAAGCATCTCAAGGGTTTTGGTAGTGGATTTACCAAGCTTTGAACAAAACTTGATGCAGATAAGTTGCTCAATTTTGCCACCCATTGCAGACAAATGAAACACATAGTCGAAGAAGCACTTGTGTAAAAATAATGCAGGTTCATAACCTGGTGTCACGTGGCAGACTGATGCAATAGGTCTGCGGAAGTGTCACCTTGGCCTCCCCTCTCATTTTCCATCACCAAGGCAGTTACAACAATAACAGTCCCAGAACTTTCCAGTAGTTTAGGAAGAAAGCAAACAAAAAATCAACCTACAACTTATACCATTAACAGTAATAATGAAGAATGTAACATTAAGTAACATATTAAAAAAATTATTTGTATTGACTACTGTTTCTGGATCGACATCATTTTAGAACTGTTTGCCAGTAGCCCCTGATGACTGTCATAACATTTTCTGTGCACTATTTCCATCAAAAGAAGCATTTTTATGCATGTCACATTGTTCAGGCAATAGCTGATGCCTAGCAACAGTTAATGTTCAGGTAGCCAAGATACAATAGATACAATATGTTCCAGGCCACACTAACCTTTAGGTCCAGGAGTCCCCATTGCTCCAGGGAGTCCTCTTTGGCCAGGAAGTCCTTTTTGACCAATTAATCCTGGAGGACCATCTCTCCCAGGGAATCCTGCTTCTCCTTTTCCTCCTGGAAGTCCTTGTAGTCCTGGCTGTCCAGGTTCTCCCTTATCTCCTTTCACATCAATCATAGGACCTGGTGGACCACGATCTCCTCTGCCACCTTGTAAGCCAGGAAAACCAGGGGTTCCTGGAAGTCCTGAAAATAATATTATTATTTCAAAAATTAATGTTCATCATTAATACAATGAAACATCAGACATACAGAAAAATTTGATGTCCAGTAAGCATAATGGTCAATCTTATCTATGTTAACCAGGAAAATAGTATGTTAATAGACTGTGCTGTAGCTAAAGACTCGCCAATTATTAGAATTTGGACAATAAAGGAATATTTCATTCCCGCATATACAACATGTTTGGTGTTTCAGAGTATTAGGGTTTTGCAGTCAGACACATAATTAAATGGAAGAGAAACAAAAATGGAAATACACATTTGGAATTCATGTTGGTAAAGTTACATGTGTTCATCTCTTATAACGCAGCAAATATTGACACAAAAATACATTTGTCTATTTCTGATGTTGTTTCAATACGTATAGTAATCCTGTGTTTTATTTTTTCAATACTGTCTACATATCCAAGTAATCCACAACCTACAATTTTTATCTACTTCCACCAATAAATGTCAAGGGACATTAAGTCCAGGGACCTACGTACCTCTCCCATCCAACCTGAAATTTTCCTTTACATTCCAATAAAACTGCTAAGAGGGAAAGGTGCACAACTGTGTAGGAAATCTTCACTTTTTCCAGTTGTATAAACACAGTTTTCAAGCATATCAAGGTAATTTGTTCCCAATAATGTAGCCTCAGAAACAAATAAACGTATTCATGCAAAGACAGAATGTTACTTTTATATCTACCACATTACAAAAAGTGCAGATGTAATAGATTACTAACACAGATTCTTAGTGTGTCATCATTATAATTTCTGTTTCATTCATGTTACAAAAATGTATCACTTTGAAATACCATACAAATTCTGTGGTCACACTGCATATTATCTGTTTTTTAAACTCAATTTGTATCTGGGCCATTCTTCTTAGATTCCTATTTTTGCTTTCTCTGTAAGCAAAATGTTCTAGCACTCTTTATATTTTCCAAGCATAACATCTGTTAATCCTTCAACCACTGAACAAATAACACAGTCATAACTATTAAGTAAGAAAATAGTACATATAAGAAAAAATCCAAGTCAAATTTCTATTAATGATGCAAGACTGCATTAATTATATATATCAATAATGAATGACCATGATGGTCGACCACCAAATGATAAGCTTAGGCTCCAACAAAAACACTCTGTGGTCCTGCTGGGCAACCTGTCTCGGGGTCTGGATCAGAATGACAACCCGGGACTGGCAGCTAAGCTCTAATAAAAGCAATGGCATCTTACAACCAGAACCTGCCACGTGGCAGCATTATGACACCCAGGTAGTGGATTTACTGAGCTACATGCAAAACTTGATGCAGACAGGTTGCTCAATTTTGCCATCCATCACAGACTGTTATAGTATTAATAACAATCAAAAATCACTTTTGTATTAATTTTGTTATAGTTTGAATGTTGGCGCCTTATATCTCCATATTGTGTAGAGGGCGCTCTTTTCCATTCTTTTTTTTTTCTGACAGTCTTACAAAAAAGGAAGGGCGCCGTGAATTAGTGATAGCAGTGAGAGTCTGACGCTGCCTGAGAGTTTTGTGTTCAACCTTCTTGTGATAAAAAGGGACATTATCCTGTCTGCTTCTTTGTGATTTTCTCTATAATTATTACTGTGATTAAACTGGTAAATTGAACTGACAATGTTATTTATTTATACTGCTTCCATCATCTCAACACAGACAAAACGAAACAAGAAGTTGAAAAACACTCATGTACAAACAATGTGTGTTCACAGCACCATGTTACATGGCAGACTGATGCAATAGGTTTTCAGAAGTGTGACCTTGGCTTCCCCTCTCATTTTCTTTCACCAAGGCAGTTACAACAATAACAGTCAAGGAACTTTCTGATACCATCTCGTAGACACTTATAAAAGCTACATATAACTGTTATAATTGGTTCATTATTTTTAATAATGAAGATCAATTCACTAGAGATTATTATACTAGGCATGGGTACTACCTGAATGACTAGGTAAAGAAATTATTTGTAAGCAACTTGCCTCAGTAATTGATGGAGTGTTCTGGCCTATTGAGGATATACCCATTACATTGGACTGGAAAAACAATCAGGAAATGTCCTTGGAGTTAGAGGCCACTTCTGCCAATAGTGATTTTAGTAACACTGTGTCTAAGGGCAATATAGAGAATGGAGGTAAAGCAGAAGAGCTCAAAGCATGTAGAGTGTCAAGCAGGCAAAAAAAGGTACCTACTAACAGAACGGGCGATTTTTTATGGCAAATTTAAGTC